AAAGTGTTGTCCAAGCCGGTGCTTCCAAACACCACAGTGCTTGTCCAGTAGAGCGTCCCTCTGCCGCTTTGCTTACCCGCCTCAGTTACTTGGCTTCTTGGGTCCCAGGCCTGCAGTGACCACAGCGTCTACTAGAGGCCCTGCTTCCTGCCACACCCGCCACCTCAGTCTGGCCCACTCTGCACATTTTCTGGCCAGGGCCTTTGAGGCTCCCTGAGAGTCCAGGGCTGAGGGCAGGGATGCTTGCTGCTCCTGGCTTGCTCTTGCATCTGAGTTGTTTATTGACCTTTGCTGTTAACAAAACTGGGAATTGCCTTTTTTCTTTTCTTAAATCAAAGCCTTGACTCAATGATACAATAATAATGCAATTACTAATTTTGTATGTGTAAAAATGATTTGCTTTTAATAATGAATGTTATACATATGATATTTTACTTCATTATAATACAAGACAAGCCGGGCGTGGTGGCACACGCCTTTAATCCCAGCACTCGGGAGGCAGAGGCAGGTGATTCTCTGTGAGTTCAAGGCCAGCCTGGTCTACAGTGAGTTCCGGGACAGCTGGAGCTACAGGGAGACCCTATCTCAAAAAGACCAAAAAAAAAAAAAAAAAAAAAAAAAAAAAAAAAAAAAAAAGCAAGACAATAGTTTTAGGATGTAAAGCCACTAATGCCATTCACCAGGGTGGCTGGCCACCAAGGTTGCTGTGATGACGACAGTCTAGAATTTTCTTGCAGACCCCTGTGAAACTTACAGCACATGCCCACATTCTGTTTCAAAGTTCTAGGTTTTTAATCTAGTCTTGTTTTGAAACATTGAACATTTCAGTGACTCTCCTACCTGGCATCCCTCATGGTCCTTCCAGACCCTCCGGGGCCTGAATCCTACTCTAGGCAGCTTGTCCCTCATATTTCACCACAAGCAGGTTCATGAATGCCAACCTCAGAGACCTAAGCAGCACCACACACTCCTGCAGCCCCCGACACACAGAGAGCCTACCTGCTAGTCCAGGTTGTTCCTGTCTTTTCTATGGGGAGCCGAAGGGTGTGAGCCCCCAGCTTCCTTGGCTTGTAGAAGGCACGATCTAGGTGGGGAGGTACTCTAGGCTGAAGAATGGAGTGGGATAGATATGGTGCTCTGCAGAGTGCAGGTTTCTGGGGAGGCCTGGTGTCTTGAGATCTCAACAGAGTAACCTAGCTTGCTTTGCAATGCTGGTCATGGCTGGTAAGAGGTCAGCTCTCTGGGAGCAGGAGACGGAAGGCTCCTTTGAAGGCCACCTTGTGGAGCACAGAGCCCCAAGGCCAGGGACCATCTCCCCTCAAGGCCTGTTGTGCTTTCTCCTAATGAAGGTTTCCACTGCTGGCTGTTTACCAGGCCACTGTGGCTTGAGGGGGACTTAGTTCTGTCCCCCAGGGCTGGGTCTCTTTGCAGCAGAACACTGTATCGATTTGTGTCCCTTTCAAATCTTAAAGCACTTTAGAAAAGGCAGGAGGAGCGGTTTTCAGGCATGCTGTTCCTCTGTGAGCAAACCTGTTGCCCTCTTCACGGAGCTTGGCCAGACCTTGCAGGCGGTGCCAAAGCCATTCAGAGATTTACGGCTCCCTGGTCAAGGTGCCTGTCTCTTCTGAGATGTGCTCCTGCCTGGATGAAGGTGAGCCCATTGGCTGGGGATGGGCTACAATGGTGTCCTCAGGGCCTTGGTAAACTGCCTGGGTGCTGTGAGGGTTGTAGGGTATATTTTTACTGAAGCCCAGCGGGGGTGACAGGGCAGAGGCTCCTCAGCCCAGGACCTGTTTGCATGTGGCCTTCTGACTAGCATATGCCTCTTAGTTAATTCAGTCTTTCTTACCTTCAGGGCCTGGAGAGCCCGGGTCCTCTAGTTCTGCATATTCCTAACTGGTTTGTCATTGCTCAGTGTGTACACGGAGGCATATACACATACCCATACACGTACACAAGCACAGGATGAGCACATGTGCACACACTCACTGCATACAGTTTAAACAGAGGCCCATGTCCTGGATGTGGAGTAGGTGATGCTACTGTGGACCTCAGGACTAGACTCCAGCCTGTCTCCACTGCTCCATCTAGGAGTATTAGGTGTTGAATAGTGTCCCACCAAAATATAGGTGCAAGTGAACCATGGTACCTGTGAACATGACCTTATCCAGAAATAGAATTGAGCAGTCCAGTTCATATGAGGTCATGCTGATATAGGCGAGTCCCGGTCCCCTGTCTGGTGACAGCATGAGAAGAGAGAGGGCAGACTGGTACTGGAGGGGCCACATGCTGTCCTTCCCATTCTGATTGGTTAGGGTCAGGCCTTGCAGCCCACTCTGTCTGGAGACAACACAAAGGTGTGATGTCTGTGTAGGCCTCTGGAATGCCCAGCCTACTCTTATGTGAGGCTTTGAAGCTTGTCTTTAGAAGGGGCTTAAGGTTGGACTGTGCTTCAGGGTGGTTGTAAATGAGTGTCCAGGCAGTGTGGGAGACATGGGGCACAGGCTGGGGGACGGGGTGCTGGCCTGCAAGCCTTAAAGTTGGCAGCTGTGTGTGGCCAGGAAATGTTCTTTCCTCAGGACTTCTGAGAGAACGAACGCCACCAAGTAAGTCCTGACGGCTTCTTTTGCTGTAGTCTTCTGGGGTTTTTATTTTTGAGGCAGGAGTTTCACACTTTGTAGTGACCTGAAACTCACCATGTAGGCCTGACTGGCGTCAGACTTGCAGCAATTTTCCTGCCTCGTCCAAATGCTGGGATTAAAGTGTGAGCCACCATGCCTAGCTGGGTCAGGCCTTGACTTATGAAGATCTGTGTAGACATGGGCACCTCTACCACCTCCTAGTGCTCTTGGACATTGATGTTGCTGTGCTGACCTTGAAATGTCCCCATGGTCATCCTCACCTCTCTTACCCAGGGTCTGCTTTGGTCCCCCAGGAACCTGACAGGCACCGTCCAGGTGCATGCCCACCATCTGCTATCTGGCTGTATGGTGATCTGTGTGGCTTCAGGAGGTCTGAGAAGACCACGGCACCCAGAGGGGGTGTCAGTATGAGTCTTCCAGGCACCAGAATTCCCCCCAGAACAAACACACATCCTTCCTTCCTCCCTAGAGGGAGAGCACGAGGGTCCTGGGCACTTATCAACCCCCTGAGCTGCAGCGTGTTGACAGGGCTGGCCAGAGTAGGGTGTCTGATCCCCACTGAGCTAGTATGGTAGCCTGGGCTACAGCCCTACCAGGAGGAACCTGTCTGGCTCTCTGGTAAGACCTATCTGCCTCGGGGTTAGAAAGCTTTGATTCCTACTTAACCTTAAAGGAAGATGCCCCCCAACACACTTTCTATTCAGTTAGGTTTTGTGTGTATCATTGTTCCACAGTGTCATTTTTTTAAGTCTGTAATACAAAGTGGGCCATTAAGAAAAAGACCATCTCCCTGTTTCTAATTTGTGTCCAGATTCTCGTTTTCTTTTCAATTTTTAAAAATTGTGTGTGTGATGTATACATGTGTGAACATGTGTACTTATGTTCACATGTGTGAGGGCACATGTGTATGCAGGTGCATGTGCCCAGGGTTGACATTGGGATCTTCCTCAGGGACCCTACTTATATATTGATTAAGGCAGTCTCTCACTTGTACCCAGAGCTTGCTGATTCAGCTAGTCTGGCTAGCCACTTTGCTCCAGGGGTCTTGTGTCTGCCTTCTGCTTTGGGGATTACAGGCAGTCACCATGCCCATCTGGCATTTACATGGCTGGCAGGGCTCCGGCTCCAGGCCTCACCTTTGCACGACAAGCACTAAACACACTGAGCCATCAGAGCTTTGCTCTCCACAGCTGGTTGTGTCCTTACTTCCTGTCTGGTGTAATAATCCCACCACTTGTCCACCCACAACTCTGAAGAGAAGTCCCTCAGCGTTTTAGATATGTAAAGTATTCATTTTAACCTAATACTGCTGTGTTGACACTTCTTGAAAGCACTGCAGCTTAACACAGCAGTGACCAGGTTGGAACTACAAAGTGGCTGTACCCATGAACTGGACACCTGAGGCTGGTGCCATATACTTCCCCCCTTTCTCTAGACACACAAACATACACAAATGCACACATATACAGACAAGCACACATGGCTACATACACATACACAGTTACACATACATGCATACACATACACCTAAATATACATACCTACATACACACATGCACAAACACTTGTATACACACACTCATACACATATTTATACACATATACACATGTACACATATACACATAAACACAGCTACACACAAATACAAATGCACACATACACATGCTCACATATACACAAACATACACAGACACACACAGCTACACATATACAGCTATACACATATACACCTAAATAGACATACCTACATACACACATATGCACACATACATATACATGCACATACCTACGCACATGCACATGGACATATATACACACAGCTACATACACATACAGACAGACACACATACCCAACCTCATCATTGCACATGCACATATATACACACAGCTATATACACATACAGACAGACACACATACCCAACATCATCATTCCTATATTCAGAGTCTGTCCTCCCTCATCCTGGGGGCCGCTGTGTCAGTAGGATGAATCCTGGTGAATAGGGACCCTGGGGTTCCCTGTGCACTGAGTTCATGGCTAGAACAGCAGACTTTCCCCCAGTGTCTGGCCTTCCTGCTGAACTTGGTGCTAATCCTGTGGCCTAGTTCCATCTAATATCCTCCACTTTCCTCAGGCATGGCTGAGCCATGGACACCAGAAATTGTGGGACCCAGGGAGGTGGGACTCATGGACCTGCTGGGAGAACTGGGCAGCCTTTGAGGTCCTGTCAGAGCTGTGGAGTCCAAGAGAGAAGGCTGAGAGCCTGGGGAAGGTGCTCTGACCTGGCGCTTGGACCCTAGGCTTCTGTTGCCAGCAACTGACCCCTTGATAATGTGTGCCCTTTCTGCTTCCCTGAAGGTCATCAACAGTGAAGTGCAGCCGCTGTCCTGGAACTTCTGGCCTCCGTCTGAGGGGCCCATGTGCCTCTGGCTGGGTGTGTGCGGAAACATGCTGGGCACAGTGGTCGACCTGACTCAAGGTCCCCAGAGGAGCACATGTGCACAAGGAGGGGCCACGGCTGGGGCACCTGGCTCCTCTCAGCTGAATGTATCTGTTCCCAGGGCTCAGGCTGCAGCATTCCTGGCTGGGAAGTGGCCTGGAGTTTGGTGACATGTTTGCTGCTTCGTGTGCCAGCAGCCTCCAGCTTAGGCATCCCCATACAGAAGCAGGGCCCTCTGCCCAGCCTGTGTGGCTGCTGGTGTGAGTACTGCCCAGCCACAGAGCGCCCTCCCAGGTCTGGCCTTGGCTGCTCAGCTTGAGCTACCCTGCAGGCTGGAGAAAACCAAATTGCACGTATGGGGTCCTCCTTCCTCAGCCCCGGGGTGCAGGGTCTCTGTGCACTCGAGGGCCAGGACCTACCTGCATCTCCCCCATGTTCCCCTCAGAGCATCAAAGCGTTCCTGGGCTCCCAGCCCTGGCCTGCAAGAGCACCTCGTTGGAAGGTTGCTATGTTGCCAGTACTGGGAGGGGGAGCGGGAGGGCAGACCTGAAAACAGGCCTCAGGTTAGGAGAGACCAGCTCTCCCCTGTGAGGCCACATTCCTTTCTCCTCTGTTACTTCTAAGACCCAAAAGAAAACAGAAAGAAAAAGGAAACTGCTTCTTCTACTTCTTTGTTTAAACATGAAGAATAAAGAGAGGTCCGTGTCAAGGCTCTGGCCTGAACAGTCACAAAGCTGCACCCATGTCTGCCTGACCTGTGAGAGGTTGAAGTCCTTTTGTGGAGGAGAGAAGGGCTATGGCCCCTGTCAAGATGGCTCTTTGCCTCTCATGGCTCATCATCACCTGACTGGAGGCAAACTGCAGCAAGCCCCATTCTGCTCCAGGTGGCAGTTCCCACGTCCTGCCTTGCAACTCCCTCCTGGTTTCCTGTTCACCCTTGAACTCCCAGCTTGGGCCTGGAGTAGTTTGTCTGCTGCGGAGCCCTCTCTCTCTGTGCCTCCCTTAGCTCTGTCAGACCTGAGGGGCATCCTGAGGCATGGCAGCGGCTTTGCTCATTCCTCATTTTGATGGAACAGTCTGGGTTCTGAGGGTGCCACAACCCTCAGAAGGAACTGTGGGTAGGACAGGGACTGTGGTCTTCTCCAGGAGAAGGGGCTCAACTCAGATCCATCACTGCCTGGCCCCGTGATTGCTCTCTTGGTGTTTGCCCAACACTTTCGAAACAGCAAATCTCAATCTCCCCAGATTCAAATCCCCCAGAAGGAGGTGACATCAGCTACTCAGCCCTGAGACCACACACACACACCACGTCCTGTTTTTCAGGATTTGGGTTCCCTCATCTTGGGGGGTGGCTATGTCAGAGGATGTATCCTGGTGAATGGGGGACTCATGTTCCCTATGTAGTGAACTCATGACTAGAACAGGAAACCTTCCTCCAGTGCCCTAGTGTCTGGGCCTGGGAGTCTTTGAAAATACATAGTGCATACCTTAATTCCAGCACTTAGGAGGCAGGGGCAGATGGATCTCTGTGAAATTGAGGCCAGACTAGGCTACAGGGAGACCCTGTTTCAAAATAAAACAACCTCCTCCCTGGCCCCCAAATGCATAGCCGGGGGTGGGGACTCTACATGAGGGTGAGGGGACTGAAGGAATGCGGGCAGCCAGGCTTGCCTTTGTGCCCCCCCTTGAGGCTGTGACAGTAGGAGTTGCCCCCAACTTTCCCTTCAACCTAGGAAGGCTGAGCTTTTGTTTCTGGATGATCAGGGCCTGGGAAGCCAGACTTGCTGCTGCAGATGGGTGGTGGTCACACCACACTGGGTCCTGAATTGCTGCACTTCCTCCCAGGGACTCCCACAAAATCCTGCACTGGGAAAATTCCTGCTTCCAGTTAGCTTAAGCCCAGGGGACCCTGCTCCCTAGGTTGCCTAGGGCCTGGGACAGGTTTTCATCTTCAGGAGGCCTGCTCTACTGGGCAGAAGGGTGAGGGTATATCTCGCTCTAAAACAAACACAACTACGCAAGGCACATTTGGGCTTTTCTGTGGAGTGATTTATACATCCATCTTTAAAAACTTTAGGTCAGGGCCAGGCATGGTGGCATGCCTTTAATCCCATCATTTGGGAGGCAGAGGCAAGCAAGATCAGCTTGGTCTACGTAGCAAGTTCCAGGTGAGTCAGGGCTGTACTGTGAGACCCTGTCTCGAAAACAACAAACAAGAAAGACCGCTGGCACCTGTCCCAGACCCCGGGCCGGGGGAACGGAGTGGCCTTCTACTGAGGATTGAAGAAATAAGTCGGCACCATGTGTGAACACTGTGCCCGGAGGTCTCCAACAGCAACTCAGAAGGCTGGCTTTGCCCTCTGTCCATAGCTATCTTTGGTACCCATATTTCTGAACCACAAGTTCTGGATGAGGCCAGCAGGGTCTAAGGGGGGCAAGACCAACTCCCTCAGCAAAGTAGAAGAGGGTTCCTCATGCACTCTGATTCCAGACATCATCTTTCAGCCCAGGAAGACACTGTCTTGGGGGCCCATGGTTTAGCCTTTCTGCTAGGGGAATTGCGGGTCCAGGAATACTCGCCACTGGGCAGCACCTGGCCACACACATGGCCTTCATCAGGCCAGAGCTTCTGACAAGATTTTAGGCCAGTGATAGTTGCATGGCCTAGTGTCTGAAAATGAGTCCTTCCACATCAGACCAGTTTGAGACCAACTTCCAGAACCTCGGCTTCTGGACCTCAGGATTGGATCAGGGACTGTCCATCCACATATGCAGAGGGCTCTGCAAGTAAGCTTCCCTGCCTGGTAGATCTCAGCAGTCAGCCCTGGGCACCTCATCCTAGAGAACTGAGAGGTTTCAGTGAAAAGTCCCAGGGTCTGGCGGTGCCCTTTGTGGTAGCCAGGGACCCTGGGCCTTGACCGAGAAGGGTAGAAAACACTACCTTAGACCCTCAAGCCCAGCTCCCCAGTGCACTGGGGAGTCCTCTCTCTGGAACAAAATGAACATTTGCGTGTCTGGTTCTTCCCAAACTTCAGGTCCATGAAAGCCCCTCTCATGTCCCTGGTAGCACTTCCTAGGGAGGCCAGGGGATTGTCACACGGATGTCTCTCTGAGGGATGGGCCTGTCCGGCTATCCAACTGTGACCCTCATGCCACCTGATCCTACTCAGGGAAACCTTCTTACCCTAGGTTGGGGCCCCTTGGCTGCACACAAGATTGTTGCCCTCTTAAGCTGCCCACTGGCTCAGAGGCCCAAGGCGCTAAACCTCCTTGGAGGAGTGGTCAGTACAGAGTCTTCGAGTCCTGAACTTGCCTGTACGCCCTAGCACCCACTCCCGGCCTGGGGACAACAGCAGTCCTTGGGTATGGCAGAATGTAGATAATGCTTCTGATCTAATTAAAAGTACAGGCAACTTTTAAAAGCCATTAAGATTGTCTTTGTAAGCAGCACGTTAGTAATGTTTTCTCCTCAGTTTCATTTCATGCTAGCACACAGGAGGGCCAGGGGGAATGGGGGAGCAGGGCCCTCCTCCTTCTAGGCTGACACCAGGCTAGGAGGCTGAGGCTATGGATGGGCTGGCCCATAGCAAGGTGACCCTCGCTTCTTCTGCTCTCTAGGTGATACCCCTCTTTGTCCTGATGACCTCTCCCCTGGAGAAATCCTGACACAAAGGCTGTAGAAAATGGGTGGCCAGTTCCCCATATGGGGGCCTGGAGTACTCAGCACAACAGGCTCCATCTGGTCAGTGGTGGGTAGGCCACTCCTTGTGGCCCTCACAACTCAGTTGCCCTGGGTGCCATGCTGTGCTTGGCCTTGCATGACAGACCCACTGTGGCCTCCAGGCTCTGTTCTCTTGCACAGGTACTCTGATCTGACACACAGAGAGGCAGGCCAGGATGAACCTGTCCCTGTTCTGCTCACTGCTCATGAGCTGGGGGAGGGGGTAACTTGGGGAGGGAACGTCCAAGGATGTGACTTGAGGAACAGGTGCTCAGGGTCTCAGTCACCAGTCAGGCTCTGAACTACAGAGCCAAGTGACCTCAATGTGAGTTTGGGGACATAGCCAGAGGGAGCTGATGCTGGGGCCCTTCCTGCTCCCAAGGACCTCCAGTAGGCAAGAGCTGGTCCACTCAGAACAGAGACTGGCTCAGCCTCCTCAGTCATCTACCCTGTGGTCCCCCCTCCCCAGAGAAGCTCTGACTACTTCACCTTCAGAGGCAGGTGGGTGTGTGGAACGCAATATGGTGAGACTCTAGCCATTTGGGGGTGCTAGGGTAGCCCCTTCCCAACACAGTGGCACCGTAAGAGCAGGCTCCACCCCACTAGTATCACCCACTGTTCTTCACATGAACAGCCATGACATGACTCTTCCATAACCAGCTCTGACTGTTATCTCCTCTCTCCATCACGGGTGGCCATCGGTCATGTGCTAAGGCCAGCTATCGCTGCTGTTATACACAAGAGGCTGGATGGGGGATGACATGGGGAACAGGCCAAGCATACTCAGGGACTCTGTCACTAGCCTTCCCCTGACTAAGCTCCCTTTTGTTCCTCTACACCCTGCCCCCATCAGTCTCCTCTATCCCCCTACCTCCAGCTAACAGACAGGGCACGTCCTCACCTGCCTGTTCAGTAGCCCTGGTAGCCATGGGTCTGTGGCCTGGCAATGTCAGGTAGTGTGAGGTTGGATAAAGTCTTGGACCTCAGAGCTTCTGGCCCTAGGACTGCCCACTCTGCCTCCCTTTCTGCCCCGGCCTGGCCCTGTGCCCTGTTGGCTTCCTCAGCATCCCTGCCCCTCTACGTGCAGAACCCTGTGACCACCCCCAACACAGCTCAGCCCTCCTGGGTCTCATGGCTAGGAGGGAGTGGGAGGGGCAGGGTCAAAGTCCTCCCTGTGGGCTGGACACATGGCCACACCACAGGCTCCACTTTAGGCCTGGGGCCCTACATCACAAATGGAGAGACAGAGGCCTCCATTTCCCAGCTAGCTCCTGGTCTCTGTCTACTGGATGGAAGGCCTCCAAACCTGGACACTTCCAGACACTGCTGGATGGTGCCATACACGTGTGGCTTCTTTTTCTCTGAAGTGTGTTGGCAGAAAATTAGTAAAATAGAAAGAAGATAAAAGTGATGAGTTCTGCCCGCTGTGGTTCTACTGCCTCTTCCAGGGAGTCCTCTGGGCATTCACAGATGTTTGCTCTCCAGACCTGGCCTCCTGCCAAGAGGCTTGGCCTGGCTCTCTCTTCCATGCTCCCTATAGCTCCTCATGTCCTGGGGCTCCCCTGCTGCCTGCCTGGCCCTGGGGTCCTCACAGCTCCCTGATATTGTGGGTATCTTGCCTCTCTGGACACAGGAAGAGGCGCGACCTGGCTAGAGGTGACTTCGTGGGAGCCTTCCCTGCCCCATCTCTGTCTGCCACAGTAAGGAAAGAACGGGAGGAGGCGAGGCACAAGCGAGGGCTGGATGGCCAGGTTGGGCCTGTCCCTAGCTGATAGTGCAGTCATCTGTTCAGGAGAGTTAAGCTGTTTTGTGCCCCAGAAAACCAAAGAAGCTTCCAGAGCTGACCAATGCCCAACCAGAAGGAGGGGCAGTGGCTGGCAGGGAGCTGCCCACAGGTCTGATCCAGGACTGACTTCCGCCTCCCACAGATTCTGTGGGTTGAAGGAAGAGTTAACGGCCCCTCCTGCTCCTCATAGGTCTATGGTTGTTGCTGTCACCAGCCCAGGCTCCCTTCCTGCCTCCCCCCTTGGAGGCACCAACCAGCCTCTGCCCCAGCTGGTTTATTTTTAGCTCCTGCCCTGCCTGACACTGTCTTGGATTTTTCACTGGGATCTGCAGAGGCCCCTCCCAGGGCAGCCAGGCCCTGACCAGGGTAGGGCACAGGGAGAGCTTCCTTTTGATTGAATTGAGGTGGCAGGACAGTGGTGCTCCCATCTTTCCTGAGCATGGCTGCATGGAGCCTAGAGACGGAGCCTGGGAAAGGGGCCCAAAGAAGCAGATAGCAGGACAGGATTGGTGTCCACAGCTGGAGGGGGCTGCACGGGCTGGGGAGCTGGATGGTAGTCCAAAGGGACCAGGGAGGACCAGGACTGGGCCCAGTCTCTAGGAGCTGGGACCATAGAGGTCTGAGGGTAGACACCAGGACAGAGATGGAGGCCCAAAGAGAGAACAGGGTTATGTAATGACTGTAAGAGAGACATGAGGGAAAGACCCACATGGGGGAGTGGGGGACAGTCCCACACAGCAAGGAAGAGGAGGGGCTGGAGCAGAGAAACCAGGCTGTCCATAGCTTCTGGAGCACAGGACTGGGCTTGGTTCCCTATGCCCCCAGGCAGCCTGGCAGAAAGACTGTGTCCCTGCACAGGAGAGAGTTTGGAGGAACTGTAAGTCTCACACTCAGCAGGACATGCACACAGCAGGGCCTACCTTGGCACAGACCTATGTAAGTCATACAGCTTACCCAGAAGGACCTGGGAAGATCACTGGGAGGTCACAGGAGGCATATCCTGCTCCCCAAGGCTTGTATGGGAACAGGAAGGCCAGAACCCAGCAGCTGGCACAAGCAGTGAAAACACCAGGTCATGGGGCCCTGCCCAGGACCTTGTCAAATCTTAATCTCCCTTGGTGACCACTCACCACAGAGACCCATCCCAGCTACTTGTTTGAGAAGCTTTCAGTGAAGACTCGGCAGAGCAGCAGCAGGGCCCTATGATCCCCTTCCAGGCTTCCATCCCCAACTCTGGGGACACTGAAAATAAGTCTCTCTTAAAAATATACATTGCAAATCCAGGTAGGCGGCATATTCTTATAATCCCAGTACTTGGGAGGTGGAGGCAGGACAATCAGGAAGTGAAAGTTATCCCTTGGCCAGATAGTTCCAGGCCAGGCTCTCTCAACAAAACCCAAACCAGAACAAAACAAAAAGCCAGGCTTTCTGAGATGAAACGTATACCATGTGATTCACTCACCTGGCTGGTGCGGTGTTCAGACACACACACAACATCATAGCCCGTTTTTGGATGGCACCTCATCCTTAGAAACCCCATACCTTTTAACTCTTTCGTCCTCCCCAGGCCCTGGTGAGCACTACTCTGATTTCTGCATCAGGAGCCAATCTGTCCTAGACATTCATGTCCCACATCCATGGAGTCCCAACACATGGTTTGGGGTCTGACTTCTTTCACTGAGCATGTTTTCAAGGCACATCCACGTTAGTGACATGCATTGGTGTCCTTTTCCCTTTTAAGGCTGAGCAATGTTCTGTCACATGGGCGTGCCACGTTTTGATGGAATATTTGTTTTTCTGAAGTGCTAGAGATTGAACCCAGGGCTATGCACACACTGAGCAAGCCCTTTATCTCTAGCCACAACCCCTACAATTTGCTGACTAAGGCTCTCATTAGCTAACACTGGGGCACAGGTTTCTGTGTGGACATGGGTGTGTGCCTGGAGGGGTCGTTGGGTCCTGTGGGTCATGGATTTGGGTTGTCTTCAGGCAGGAGTCATGAGGGTGACCTGCAGTATTAGATGTATTCCTGTCAGAGAGAGAGAGAGAGAGAGAGAGAGAGAGAGAGAAGAGAGAGAGGAAGAGAAAAGGAGAGGGAGGGGAGGGGAGGGGAGAGAGAGGAAAGGGGAAGGGGAGAGCAGGGAAGGGAGAGGGAGAGAAGAGGAGGGGAGAGGAGGAGAGTCTAAGCTACACCGCTGGCTCCAAGGTCTCACCTGGGCTTTCTCTTTCCCATCCAGATTCCTTGGCATCCAGCCCATGCCACCAGACCAGCTGCTGAGGGCAATCATTAGGGGGTGGGGACCCCAAAAGGAGGGCCAGCCAGGCACTCCAGGTACCTTGCTGCAGGCATTCTGCTCAGAAGTGCCTTAGACTGAGGGATAAGGCAGGAGGCCCACTCCTGCACTTTGTCTCTGGCTTATGTCCTCTTGCCTTTGGAGTGGGACCAAGGCAGGCACTCCTGATCCAGAGGCATGGTCTCCCTTGAATAAGCTTTCTCCTGTGCAGTTTGAGACCAGTCCACATGCCCCAGCCTCTGTAGTGAGCAGGAAGCAGGCAGGGTCTGAGCACCTGACTTCCTCCTGCCCCTTTCAGCACTGTCCACACTGGTCCTGATGGGTCCTCTCTAGTTTTATTTCGTGTGGCTTGGTTTCCGTAGAAAGCGGACCACAGCACTGCTCAGCGCCCAGCAACTGGCCATAAGTGCTCTGCCTTACAGGCTGTTTTGGGAAGCTCCTGCTGACTGGCAGCATTCCTATGAACAACGCGCCTCTTCTCGGCTTGGCAGCGGTCTCCTCACACATTGTGCGTTTTCCCTTGAAATGTTTAATGTGCTGAAGTCTAGCTTCAATCACATCAGCTCGAACGCAGACTAATCACTTAGCCTGATTGTTGGACTGCATTTGGCTCTGGGATTTTAAAATAC